GCTTTTGACTTCCCCATAAGGCGTGGTCGCATTACATGTGTAATTTCCTCCAGCATCTAATTTGGCAAAAACTTTGAGTGTCAGTCCCTGTCTTATTTTGCGTATTGTAAGGTGATCATCTTTAATCTCCACGCCGTCTTTATACCAGGTAATTGTTGGACAGTATGGGTGGGAGTAAAAACAACAGTGAAGTTTGAAAATTTCATCGCCATCAAATTGGGAATCCGACTCCGTCGCATCGATGATCTCCAAAGCCCCTTCATCTATATAGACAGTAATAGTATTTAAAATAGTGCCACCACTATAATTATTATGTGAGCTACACAAAAGTGCCAGAACCTTTCGCATGAGTAAACAGGAAACGATTCAGCCCTTCACATTAATGTTAATAGGAATAAAAGCCCAAGGACGAAACTCCAAGCATAAATAATGTCCAGGTTTTTGTCTTGGTTTATGCAAAACATGGACGGGAAATCGTATCACGCCCGCATTGTTTCTTTTTCGGCATGTCAGCCTGTAATTGCAAGGTTTTCAATTAAGTGATCATTAGCCATTGGGTGAAAGCATATTGCTATCAGCCGTGCACGTGACGATGAACCGACCAGTTTTACATAAATAAAGACAAAAACATAAATAATCAGTTATAGAAGTGTGTCCTAACTTCATTCATTTTAAATATGGTCCAAGCAATTACTTACAGATTAGCAAATAGATGTAGATGGGTACCACGCTACTAATATGCATTTCAAATCATGCATGTCTTGCTTGTTTCAAGTACAAATGCCTCTAAATGCCATATAATAAACTTTTTATTAACCTCACTTGCTCGGTATGTATACAGAGAAATATCGGACCGAACTGGTGATCTACTAATTAATCTGGTTCATTTATTCATGGTGTTTTAGAGTTGGTGAAATTTAGTCGAAAGGAATTATTTGGGATTATCTTTTGGCGATTTGTATGATATTGCTGTGATGCTCACACTACAACCCGATATTTTGGTTCATATATTCAATATCTTTGTCATCGTTTGTTCTTATCACCTGTAACTTTCTAAGTGAACTGTAAATTGTGTTCCTGTTCTCGTATGTAATTTTTGTGTTATTTGGATGTACTGTTCGTGATTCATCGTACTTTTATTATTTTGACCGTTTAAACTTTTGTATTTAAATTTTGTCTGGCGTCGCGTTGGTTTTCTGTTTATCTCATGAATAGCACAATTTTCATTCATTTTGCGGTTTTTGAGTGCAATATTTGATGACTAATTTTTGTATTCTTGTTGGACGTGGTCGCTGCGAACATAATCACACAGATCAACATATCTGGTTTCACTCGTGGGGATTTCCCCGCATTAAAAGGTTAATACAATGAACTTGCCCACTCCCTGAAGCTTGCCCAATTCGACTTCTGGTTGGCTCTTATTCATTGCTTTATATCTCTTGCTTCTACCTCGATCTCAACCGGTACTAGTTTCACAAAACACCTCCACAACGTCAAATAATATTATTATTTCTGCAGAACTTATATATATATATCTGGTAGACCAAGCCACATCTGGTATCAACACGTGATCTAAATATAAGGAAATGTTCATTTTCCTGTAATTATCGCTATGGCTTGCTGTTTCAAATCAAGATTAATAACTTGCACGTTCTGTTATGTATTTTATTGTCAGGAGACGTTACTATTAACCCTGGTCCCTGTAATGCCCATGTAAATACATCAGTAAAATGCTTTAGCCATGAATGCCCGTAGTTTGATGAGCACTCATAAACTAAAAGAATCTGAAACTGTTTGTAAACTAAACTGCTTTCAAGACTTAGTTTATTCTGAACAAATTGATATTGTTTGTGTCAATGAAACTTGGCTCAATGGAAACATTGATAATTCACAAATCCTGAACTCCGATTACACTATACTTCGAAAGATCGCGAAACTCAAGGCGGTGGAGTATTATTTGCAATTAAAACTGATTCATTTAAGTCGGTGTGAGAAGTTCATCAAAATCAATATCTAGAAATTATCTCTGCTGAAATAACTACAACCTGAAATAGTCAACTCTTGATTTGCTCTTGCTACCGTCCACCTAACGCTGATCAAAATTAACTCAACAATTTTAACCACTATCTAAATGATGTTTGCAGCTGCTATGAGAATATATCCTTGTTGGTGACTTTAAGGAGCCAATGAAATTTCATTCTTAGAATTAATGAATGACTATTTCTTATCTCAACTTAACAACAAACCAACTAGACGCAACAACGTGCTGGACCTTGTGCTTACCAATGTTCCCAACCTTGTAAATATTCATGAGTTTTATCTCCTACTGAAGCAGAAGTTTTCACTGATCACAATTGGCTTATAATTCTCTTTGATGTCCTTATATCTCCAAAATCGCCAGTGAATATGAATAGAATAGTATACGACTACCACCGTGGCAATTTCGATGTTTTAAGATCGTCACTCGAATCCGAGAATCTGTCCAATCTAATATCAGTGGAAGGCGATATTGACCACGACTGGCTGATCTGGAAAAGTACTTTCCTTACAATAGTTGCTAATCATATCCCAACCAAAAGACTTCGAAGTCGAAAATATGTGCCGTGGCTTACTGGTGAAATTTTGCACAACATCAAATAGAATTCCTTAAGACAAAGATTGAAAAAATCTCCCAGTGACTATCTCCGCCACAAGTTTAAAACTCTCAGAGTTACAATTATGATAAAAATCAGCCGATCCAACTACATTTCCTCTCTCTGCACAAACATCCAAACAAATTCCAAACGTTTCTGGTCACCATTTAATTAAACTAAAAGGTGCAACATGTTCTGTGCCGGAAAAAAATTCAATAAAAACGAGTGTCGACAATGTTCCTGATTATGCCGAGAATCCTAGGGATATCGCAACACTTTTCAACCGCTACTTTGTATCAATCTTCTAGAGTGATCCTATCAATATTGTTAATCAACAATCTATATCCGAAACCACTAACACTATTTTTAATGACATTATTTTGTCGGAAGGAACAGTGCGCTAAGTTTTAACAAATCTCGATAACAACAAAGCGCATGATCCAGATGAAATCCCAGCAAGATTACTTAACGAAACAGCATATCAAATCGCTCCATCTCTATGCCTTCTGTTTAACAAGTCCTTAAAAAGTGGAATAGTACCTCGAGAGTCGAGAATGGAAACTTGCCAATGTTGTACCCATCCACAAAAAGGGGGATAAAGATCATGTAGAAAACTATCGGCCAATTTCTCTTCTCTCACTTGTCTCCAAAGTCTTGGAGCGTTGCATATTCATTAGTATCAAAGAACATGCTTTCAGTCAAATAAATTCTTGCCAACATGGCTTCATTTCCGGAAAATAATGCGTGACACAACTAATTGAAGTTTTAGATACCATCGACAGCCAATTAGATCTCGGAAAGCAGATTGATGTGATCTACCTGGATATATGTCAAAAGCATTTCCATGATAAGGTTAGTCACGTACGTCTTCTACATCGTTTCAGAGAATTTGGATTCGGAGGAAATCTCTTAATGTGGTTTGATTCTTACTAGAAAAATAGCCGAAAAAAAACTACTGTTCTCGGTGCAACATCGACAGCACTACCAGTGATAACCGGAGTACCACAAGGTTCCATTCTTGGCCCGCTACTTTTCCTCTTATATACCAATGATCTATCTTCTTCCATCGTGAATTCGAACGCGGCAGCTTTCGCTTATGACACTAAGATTGTTAAAGTGATTAACTCTAGGACCGATGCAATGTTATTACAAAATGATCTTCTCAACTTTAATTCCTCCTCATCTAATGCTGGTCTGCATCTTAACAAATCAAAATGTAAAACCCTCCAGGTCACCAGGAAGTACAACAAAATAGATTTCCCTTATCAACTACAAAATACCACATGTACACTAGAAAAGACTGATTGCGAACTCGTTTTGGGTATATGGACGAATTATGATCTCACTTGGTCAAAGCAAGTTACAAAACAAAGTAAAAAAGCTAATAAAATGCTGGGGTATATTCGAAGATCATATCAACTTTCAATATTCGCGAGTTAGCAATTCGACGAACACTGTTCCTTTCTCTGGTTCGCTCACACTTAGGATATGTCACCCAAGTATGGGCGCCCCAAACAGTTGAGTTGGAGAAAACTAACTAGAACGAGTTCAGAGGCGTGCAACTAAATACATTTTAAATGTTCACTTTATTTGTGATACAGAATATAGAGACCGACTCCTTGCAACCAGTTTGCGAGCTCTCAGCTACTGGCACGAATACCTGGACGTAGTATTCTTCTATAAGGCAAATCACGACATTTTTAATTAATATTGAAAAAAAACATTTCCTCAACCTCAGGGTCAAAGACAGACAAGATAATTTAACCCCAACTCGCACAAATATAAAATTCCGACATACAAGACGTCAACCTAGGAAAAATCTTACAAAATCCGAACATCAAGAATATGGAACACACTACCTGATCATATTACCTCCAAAGACCGAACATTTTCAGAATTCAAAAATCTTCTTTTTAAGTATTATATTTTAGCATTAGTGAATACATACGATATTGAAGATCCCCGCACATGGAAAAGTGTGTGTATAAAATGTAATCCCGCTCGAAGTTTAATGCACTCTCCATTGATATGTTGCTTTTAGACATAATGTAATGACTGTTGTTTAATTATTGTTTATTGTGTGTGTTTAGTATACCTGGTAAATTGTTTCAGCATAACTATTGGGGCCGCTGTAATTGGCAATAGCTGTTGTGGTTTCCCAGCCAATGAATGTATAAGTATGATGGCAAAGTAAATAAATAAATAAAAAAAGATCTCGGTCCGATATTTCTCTGTACATACCGAGCGTTCGATAAATAAGAAGTTATTATTATATGGCTTTTCAAAATTCTCTATTCTGATTGGTTGACAAGCGGTCCGTAAAACCCATATCCGGACCCTGGTCCGTATTTTCCATATCTGGACCGGTGTCCCGGACCGGATGTCGTTTATCTGGCGGGAAATTTTTGCTTTGCACACAGAAAATTTTTTTGCATTTTAAATTTCCAATTGTGCTTTACATATAAAAATTTCAAACAACCAAATTATTTTTGGGCATGCATGCCTACCGTATATTGTTACCCAGTGAAACTGACGATAGCCGATTTAATTCGCGCGAAAAGCATATGCTCAAAGACTCAGTTCAGCCACATAATAAACGATTATTGACCTCGCTTGTTCGGTCTGTACTGTGAAATATCAGACCTCTGTTTTTTGCATGGACCTCGCTCGTTCGCAACCTCGTTCCCAGGCTCTTTCCTCTTGTGAAGCAAAGAGCCTGGGAACGAGGTTGGCTCGTTCGCCGCTCTGTCCATACTTTCTATGAAAAAACCTCTATATCTTTATATGGTATATACAATATGACAGCCATATGGGCATGAGTTTGGTTACATATACCGTTTTCCGACTTGGATTCTAAATTGGTTAAGTGGGTTGTATTGCAATCATCTAATTCAACCTCTACAAAGAGTTCTTGACAGAAGTTGGGGTCTGCTCCATATGAAGACGAAATTAAAAACAAGGTGACTGAGACATATATAGCTGGAAATATCATGGCATATGCTTCGAGATCTTTGTATCCACAGAAAACGCTAAAAGAAGAAAGAGACAAATTAGACAATTTTTAAGAAAATCTTAGTAATTTGTAAATGTGTTGTAAGTTTTGTTTCAAGTGTAGTGTTAGTAATAAATTTGTTGCTAATTTTCAAAACATAAAAGAAATTTTTATACCTATAAGGAAGCATAAGACTATAGTTAATTGTAGGCTAGTTGGTCTTTAATTGGATGATTATGATCACATGATATGGAATAAAATCTTAATCGTACCTCATGCAACCCAAATCTTCATAATTACAGTATAATGAGGCCGATGGAATTAAATTCAAATGCATAATTTCTGCGAAAGCAAAATGGCTGGTGAAAAATCACTAAAAATAATATTTTACAACAATGCTCAGTTAAATGAATGCCATTTGCAGGATTTCTATTAATTTTAAACATTGTGCATGCAACTTAGGTATGTATTCATGTTTTGTATTTAATCCAATAAAAATCGATAACATTGATTTATTTTGGTGTTATATGAAACAAATCAGGAATGTTTTCATTCGTGCAGTGGAAAAAATTTCTGGGTGAAAGATATGGAATTTAACATTCCACTCGCCTGTCGCCTCATGAAATGGAAATTCCATATGGACTGAAGATTGAAACAGAACCTGCGTTCTCAATTTCTACCTAAACCTTTACATAAAATGTCATAAAAATTAATAAAACAATTAATTTTAACTATAGATATAAATATAATTGTTATATACTTTAGTGTCAAAGTTTTCCGATTTGTCAAAACCGTGTTACGTGCCGGTCCATAAAACGTCATGTTCGGCAACCGGTCCGCAATGAAACATTTATTGACCGGTCAATAATAAAATGGGTGCAATACGCATGCATGTCAACGTACCATGAAGTTCCAAAGTTCATTTTTAAAACTATTTACTAAACATTTACGGCATTCCATTTATCCAGTTTTGGTTTCAAATTAAGTTCACTCCAATAACCGGTGAATTATTCATACTTTGACACTTATATACTGTATAACAAAACACTTATTTACTGAGACCTCGGGAAAGCAGTGTGTTTTGTGGCCCCTCGGGACCACAAAACACACTGTTTCCCTCGGTCTCAGTAAATAAGTGATAATTATATACTTAGGGACTGTGGTGGGTGGAGTCCATATACAAAACCATAGCCTGCGGCCTGCGAACAGGCTCTCAAGCTGAATTGAGAGCCTGCATGCATCGATGACTAATGATTTTGAATATCTGCGTCTCAAATCGTGACGCGAAATTCTCATTGGTCAGATGCTATAATTTATATGTTTCCGCTGAGCTCTATATATGTCAACTGCTGAAACACTATGCATAAAAAACACATTAACTGATCAAATTGGTCTTGGCCATCTTAACTCAAAGCACGAAATGTTCTGTTTTGAGAAAACAGTAATTTCAAGGAAGCGCGAATTTCAAATAAGCTTAAAGTCTGTATTTAAAACATTTGAACTTTTGCTTGAATATCTTATATTTCGAAAAAAAACAGTGTAAACTGTACGGTCTAAATTTAGTTTGCACGGTCTAAATTTAGTTTGCACGAAAGTTGTAAACAACACCATACAAGGATAGACATTCCATATTTGGAAAAACGAACGTTACGGGGCAGATATTCAAAATTGTATATCATCAGTGCAGGCTCTCAATTCAGCTTGAGAGCCTGTTCGCATGCTAACAAAACCATGAATAAACCCAATTTGGATATAGATTTTAATTGTTCTGTTTTCTATAGGTGCATGTTAATATGAAGTGTCCCACTTGCCATATTGCAGTTCAATAGTATAACCTATAACTGATTTATTTTCAATTCCAGTTCTGTGCAGGATCAGGCAATCCTGTACGGAAAATTTAAATGCCTTCGCACCCACGGTTTTAAAACGTTGTACAATGAAAACATTTTAACGTGTGAAGTTAACAGTATATTAAACGAGAGACACGTTAACAAAAACATTAAAGTTATAATGCAGTTGATAAAGTTAACCGTTCAAATAAGGTATAAATATAAAGTTAATGTTTTAATTACCAAATGGTTTTCCGTGCAGGATAGAGCGTAATCCTTGCACTTTGGATGTTGCTCGACTTTCGGAAGGCGTAAAAAAGCACTCGCCTGCGACTTGTAGGTGGGAAGTGTTTATCGAGAAGCTGTAGGGAATTCCGCGCGATGTTGGTTTTAACGGATTTGCTGAACGGGGGGGTTGAACCAGATAATGTTTCTTTGGCGCCTTCGTTTCGTAGATGGTGGAGAAGAAGGGCTGTTGGGTGAATATTCCAAAGAAACATTGTAATTGCTGTGTTTAAGTGCGCTTTCGTAGAAAGGTTTGCATTCATCGAAGGATTGTTGGTCAGATGAAAGGGAAGAGATTCGCTTGTTAATTGAGACAGGAATTTGCTTTAGAATGGATAGTGGATGGTTAGATCGGCTGTCAACGTAAAGTGGTTGGTTGTTTGGCTTTCTGTACAGTGCAAATTTTTCATTTTCCAAATTTAGCGTAATATCCAGAAAGTTGACGACTTGATTGTTAACCTGAGCAGTTATCTTCAAACCAATTTGACCGAATATGTCATGTAACATCTTCCTTGCTTTGTCCGCCTTTCTTCCGTTAACGCCTTCATTTAATGCAAGCCCATCGTCCCGGTATAGCCCAACATTTTCTTTACCAAACTTCTCCGCGAGCTTACTCAGAGCGAACAAACCAACCAATTCGCAGATCTCCGCTCCATCAAAGCTGCCCATCGTTACATCAAATAATGAATCGCTACTTCGTTTTGTCCAAGCTGTATCGCTGTTAAACAAGAGTGATTTTCGCGCATGTTTGATTATGGAAATATCTTCTTCCGGGATTGTTGTTAAAGTTGTAGCCCAAACGATG